TAAGAGCAGTTTTCAAAATCAACGTAATCACACTGGCCAATCATAAAAGGCTCAGACTATCCCATAAGCCAATCAAAACTCTAAGCAAATACAACAAATAGACCTCATTGAAAGCATACAATGTGTAATTCCAGAAAATATTCATACTTCTTCCACCAAAGGGATTATATCTAAGACCCCCCCACCCCCCTGGAAATTTCAAATAAGCTTCATATATTTCTTTAAATTTTTTGGCCTTACAGAATCCCCCTCCCCCAGGAAATTCCAATCCTTTCTGTGGGGGGAGTATGGATATTTTCTGGAACTGCACAATATACTGTAATAAGTGGCTTCTGCAAGATAAATTTTAAATGAAACTGAGAGGGCATTTATATTTGTACATACTTTTGTCCAAGAAGTTCTGTGTCATGTTCAAAAGAAAATCAAGTCAAATGTCATTCTTTTCCCCTATTTGATAGTAATTTATCAATGATGACAATAGAGTTCTAGGCCAGTTCTAGCCTACAGAGCAGGCGTTCTATTGGAGTTTGGGCGAAAATTAGACCGCGCGAAAAATGGAGCGAGGCAAAAATTAAGAGGTGGGGGGAGGGTGAGAGGAGAGAAGGGAACACCTGCCAGCACTCATTGATATTTTCAAACACTCATTCGTGGACGAACGAATGCTTCTGATTGGCTTTTCATGCTTAGTCTGATTGACAGACATCAATGTTGCTACATTACACAACCATTGTAGCACTTTCAAAATGGCGGAATCCTTCTCTCCTCTCCCCCTTCCCCCACCTCCTAATTTTTCGCCTAATTTTTCGCTAAACTCAACTAGAATGCCTGCTCTGCAGGCTAGGCCAGTTCTAACAGAAACCATTACTAAGGTTCAGCTGGTGGCAATAAAGGAGGCAAAAAGTTTGTCAATAATCCGCATACAGTTGCTATTTGTGTAGTATATGGGCTCAGAGTATTTGGCAGGGCTCCATCTAGGATATGGTATGTTTTAATTCTTCCAATAGCCTGCTCAACACGAATCCGAACAGAGGCGATGCTCACTGTATCCTCTGTTTCTGCAGCTGTCATCACAGGGGGCCCACACAAGCGGCGTGTCTGGTCGTTTGTTCGCAATATAAAGAAATATATGGGAGAATATTGAAGAGTCGTAATATCGTAAACTTATATCGAGGAATGTCTATGTTAGGCTCAAAATAAATGTAAACCTACCTCACTTGCTGTGTATTGTCGCTTCTGTCGTTGTAAATGGCGAATTTGAGCGATTTGGTAGATTCTGCGTTGAGTGTTGCTTCACGTTATAAGAAGAAGACAAGGGTGGAAAGCTCATTCTCGACCGCTCCAACGCGAAGCNCATTCCTCGAGATAAGTTTACGATATTACGACTCTTCAATATTCTCCCATATATTTCTTTATATTTCGAACAAACGACCAGACACGGCGCTTGTGTCGGCCCCCTGTGCCGTCATTTGCTCCCGTCCAGCCAGAAATGGTGGCATGTTGACTGCCACCCCATCAGGCACTATGCCAGCAATGTCAAAACCACGGTCCACCATCACATTATCACCAGCCTCCAACAATTCCAACACCCCACTTTTTCTTGTAATCTGCTTGTCAGATACAAGACCACCCCAAAGTTGAGATAAAAAAGTCACTTAACCATTTAGGGTAATGCTGACAAGCAATTTCCATGTCTTGTGGTGTTTATAGTCTGACCATGTTTCAGATTGTGCCAACATAGCCGAGGGTCGATGAATAAACAACTCAGTACAGTCTAGAATTATTCTTGTTGTTGGATACTGAACAAATTCCTTTGGCATATTTTTTCACACAAGCTCTTACAAGGGGAATAAAAATAAGTATTTGAGCTCATAATAAAGAAAATTAATCCATGTAATGCAGATTCGAGACAGAACTAATGCTAATGCCAAATCTATCGGCGAGGTCCTGAACAAACAGGCCAGCCTTCAGTATCATAAGTACTAACAAAAACTCCTCCAGTAGAGGCAGTTTCCTTTAAGGCCCAGGTTTCTTTTTGCTATCATCTGATTGATAAGACTGGCTTTCCTTCAGTGAATTTCCCCCTTTCCAGTATTGTATCTTGGAAATCTTTTGTTTGATATAATTGAAGAAGCCGATTAATGCTTCATAGCTCGGGAAACCAGTGTAAAACAAGATGGCAGAATTATCATGTTTGATCTTGTCGATCAAAAATTGCCGTCCAACAAAGATTGTGTTTTCTTCATCTGCTTCCCCAAGTTTTCGCTGGCAGTTAGCGAGTTTGGTTTCCAAGGCAGTCACGGCAATTTTGGTTTGTAGCTCAATGATTGGGTCAGCTTCAGTTTGAGGAGTTTCAAATGAAGTATCAATTAAATCATCAAATGCTAAAGCTGAATTCAACAATAAATTTGATGAAGTTGAGTCATCTTTTGTCTCAGGGACAGGCAACTCTTGCACTTTACCTACTGTTTCGTGGAAGATCCTTTTTGCTGGGGGCTTCCTATTCAGTTTTTCTCTGGTCCAACTAAACTGAGATGGTTCTGAACCTTACATGAGATAAAAAAATAGATTTGTCTTATTTACTACTTCCATTTCCACTCAGACTTTACAGTGACAGATTTTATTAGCTCTGAAGATAAAATAAACTGTCATTTACAAGGCACATTAGGCGAATGAGAGTTATGACTAAGGTTACAAAGAAGGCCACCAGTCATAGAGCGACAGCGTGCTTGCATAGAAGTCAAGAACTATGTAAACAAAAACTTACCTTTCTTTAATTCAGAACGGCCAGAAAGTTTTTTAACAATGTCCTCTTGAGTAAAATGTTCCGAACAAACAACAGTTGAGCTCTTTACTAGGAATCCATCCTTTCCATGTTGCCTTTTGATCAAACTGCACCAACGATTCCTTTCAGCTGAACATTCTTAGGAAAGGTGAAGAAACGATAGCTTGTACGATGGCCGTCTACACTGTAATAGCTGTTATTACAGTCAAACGCCGCACAGTATTTTCCTCTTCTTTTCGGTATAGTGTTATGAGAACCTCTCGTGGCCGAATTGAAGCAATTCAGAATACCTGTCCGCCTCATTTACATGTGTCGGGAGGGGTGACCCAAAAACACTGACCCCCAGTCCATGGACCCCCCTATGGCCTGGTCCACGGACCCTTATACGGACCGGTCCACGGACCCCGCTTCATGAACCCACCATGAAAAGACAATAATAACAATTACAACTTATACTAAGAGATTTGACTTACCGTTGTTTTTTTGTTCGCGGTGGCGAAATTTTGACTGTTAATATTCCAAATATTACCGTGGCAATGAAAGGAGGAAAAGCCGACTAAAAAGTAAAACAAAAAAAACAAAGGAAAAGACCGA